CATGGGAGGGCAACCAACTAAATCTCCCAAGCACTCTGCCAAATGTTAACGTAAATGTCACATCGAATGACAGGTAGAAAAAAATCATCTTTCTCTTACATTTTTTTCAATTTATTTCTTCGTTTACTTGAAGTTTGATCTGTACAGGTTCAGGTACTATCAGAACGTGTGCACCCTTGGGTACAGTTCTGCATGGTGGAAATGGGACGATTGGGAAAGGAACATCGACTGGATGGCCCTTAATGGAATCAATTTGGCTCTTGCTTTTAATGGACAAGAGGCTATCTGGGAGAGAGTATACCTCCAATTGAATTTCACTCGAGACGAGATTAACGATCACTTTGGAGGACCTGCGTTTTTGCCTTGGTAATAGAGATCTCTCTGCTTCGACGGTATTTCGAACGGCAAATATTGAAATCAAGATTTTATGTATTACACCATGCACATACATGTTAATTTGTTGCTGATAGGCTTAGGAATATTTATCTTTTTCGCTTGATGATAAGACACTTGTTCTTGCGTGTATCAGACATTGCATCTCAATGGAAAATATTTCTTTATGGGTAAATACACAGGGTAGTCACATTATTAATTTTCTTTGCGATATCGAATCTTAGAGTTAAAGTTCAATAAATTTGATGATAGGAAGTTTAGATTCTGTTGAAGATATGATAACAGGTTTGGCTGTAATTTAATATCTTTTTGTTAAGATATAGGATAATGATAGAATCTTTAATGGAATTATAGGCAATCCTAGGGAACCCTAGCAAACTCTAAGAAACGCTACAGAACTTTAGGGAACCCTAGAATCTCTCATCATTCGTTACACGATGAAATTTCGAAGTGGAATTATAAAATAAATTTCTGTAGGTCTAGAATGGGCAATATTCGTGGTTTTGGCGGTCCATTAACCCCTACTTGGCACGAACAATCGATTCGCCTGCAACATCAAATCCTTCAAAGGATGAGGAGCCTAGGAATGACACCTGTTCTACCTGCATTCGCAGGACACGTGCCCAGAGCATTTCCCAGATTGTTCCCCAAAGCGAATGTCACCAAGCTTTCATCTTGGAATCAATTTTCAGATAAATATTGTTGGTGAGCAGTATCAATCAATTGTTTCTAGTAAGATAAGTTATCAGGATATGATAATCTTGCTGTTTAGCAAACTCCTGAAGATGAAGTATATAAGATATATATTGACCCAAAAATAAGCACAATGTTGGAAAGTTTAATTTTGTTGCAGCCCTTATCTTCTGACACCCACAGATCCACTGTTTCAACAAATTGGACAACAGTTTCTGAAAACTGTAAGTGAAATTTTCAAATTTGGAAATAATGTATTTACTTTTGCGATTCGTATTTTGTAGTACATCGAGGAGTTTGGTACCGATCATGTGTACAATTGCGATACTTTCAATGAAAACGAACCGTACACCAGTGAACTGAAGTTCTTAAAAAATGTTGGACACTCGATTTTCGCGGCTATGAACAGCGTTGATCCAAACGCGATATGGTAATACTTGAATTTTTTATTTAATTCTTTCGTCTAATAATTCTCTGATATATTATTATTATTAAAGGCTGATGCAAGGCTGGTTGTTCTTCCACGATTTATTGTTCTGGACAGAACCTAGGGTCGAAGCTTTCTTAACTTCAGTACCGGTGGTGAGAAACAGGATAGAACAATTCCAAATTATTTCTTCTTTTGAAATTTCTTTGTTGAAACGTTATTCTTCTTCTTCTTCTAGGGAAGATTGATAGTGTTGGACCTTCAGTCCGAACAATTTCCGCAGTACACTAGATTGAAATCGTATTATGGGCAGCCATTCATTTGGTGCATGTTGCACAACTTTGGTGGCACTCTTGGAATGTTTGGATCAGCTCAAATTATTAATCTCGTGAGTTGATTTATTAATTCTAAGCTGATTTCTGGGGAACCATTTAAATCACTTTTGGTAATCGTGAACTTTGTTAAATTAAAATTACCCCTTTCGTAGCGAGTCTTCGAAGGAAGAAGCATGAAGAACAGTACAATGATTGGAACAGGTTTAACGCCAGAGGGTATCAATCAAAATTATGTTATCTACGAATTGATGAATGAGATGGCTTATCGTCGGAAACCGGTCAATTTAGACAACTGGTAAAATAAAATATTTCTAAATCTTTTATGATAAAAATAAATCAATGTATATATAATTCCCAGGTTCGAGAACTATGCTAGTAGAAGATACGGTGTTTGGAACGAGTATGCTGTGATAGCATGGAAGAATTTAGGAAAGACAGTGTATAATTATAATGGTTACCAAAAAATTCGAGGGAAATATGTAATTAGTCAACGACCAAGCTTAAATCTCTCACCTTGGGTAAGTGAAAAGCTTTTGGTGCGGAGTTTGCGAAAGATTTTTAATTATTTATACAGAAATATGATTGTAGACGTGGTACAAACGTGAGACATTCTACAACACGTGGTACGTATTTCTTCAAGCAAGGCATGGAAGAAGAAATAGCACCCTGTATCGACACGATGTGGTTGATTTAACCAGACAAGCCCTTCAATTAAAAGCAGACGAAATCTACCCTGCTTTGGTTGATTCGTTTAACAAGAAGAACGTCACTGGGTTCAAGTAAGTTCTATGTTCTATTTTAAATTTAAACTTAAACACGAATTCATTGCAAATTTTTTATTCTAATTGGATAGATATCATGCTGATAGGCTCTTGGAATTATTCGACGATTTAGAATTAATACTAGCATCTGGGAAGAACTTCCTGTTGGGTAGATGGATAGAATCAGCCAAAAGTCTGGCTGGCAACGACGAGGAACTACGTCTCTACGAGTACAATGCAAGAAACCAGATTACATTATGGGGACCAGGAGGAGAAATAAGAGACTATGCGAATAAACAATGGTCCGGAATTGCTGCGGATTACTTCAAACGACGTTGGACCATTTTCCTCGATAGTCTTGAGAACGTTCTGACTAAAGGGACGACGTTGAATACCACAAGAATCAACGAGCGAATATTTCAAGAAGTCGAGAAGCCATTCACTCTTTCCACTAAACTTTATCCAACGGATGAGATAGGTATTGTTTTTAATTATCTTTTGATAAAGTTTCGATATTTCAGACATCTGTTTGCTGCAGGTGACTGTGTTGATATAGCAACGAAACTTCTGTCCAAATGGTATAAAACATCGTACAAAGACAGCAAAACGTTAACAATGAATAGAAGAAGAGAATGGGAAAGCGTATAAGGATTGCTATTAGGAATTATAATTGACTCTAGTTAATTTGAGATCATCCTACTAGTCACGTCGATTACAAATAATTTTAAACGTTTACAAAAATGCTCAAACATTATGTAATTAAGAAAAAAGTGTAATTTTCATTGAATTATTATATTTAAGAAAATAAAGAACTATCAAAATGAACGTTTGACAAACTTGTATTTTAAAAAGATCGCCATAAATTAAATATTTTAAAAATTCGATCTTAGCGCCATCTATAGAGAAACGGTGGAAACCCCCGGTGGGGGTCCTTAGAACCCCAAGATATAATTTTGGTATGCAGAACTGTCGGTGCTTCGGGGTCCTTAGTACCCCGAGTGAATATAATTTTGGTATGCAGATTCATTGGCGCTTCGGGGTCCTTGGAACCCCGAGAGGATATAATTTTGGTATGGAGAATCATTGGCGCTTCGGGGTCCTTGGAACCCCGAGAGGAAATAATTTTGGTATGCAGAACCGTTGGTGCTTCGGGGTCCTTAGAACCCCGAGAAGATATAATTTCGGTATGCAGAATCATAGGTGCTTCGGGGTCTTCAGTACCTCGAGAGGATATAATTTTGGTATGTAGATTCATTGGCGCTTCGGGGTCCTTGGAACCCCGAGAGGATATAATTTTGGTATGGAGAATCATTGGCGCTTCGGGGTCCTTGGAACCCCGAGAGGAAATAATTTTAGTATGCGGAACCGTTGGTGCTTCGGGGTCCTTAGAACCCCGAGAAGATATAATTTCGGTATGCGGAATCATAGGTGCTTCGGGGTCTTCAGTACCCCGAGAGGAAATAATTTTAGTATGCGGAACCGTTGGTGCTTCGGGGTCCTTAGAACCCCGAGAAGATATAATTTCGGTATGCGGAATCATAGGTGCTTCGGGGTCTTCAGTACCCCGAGAGGATATAATTTTGGTATGCAGATTCATTGGCGCTTCGGGGTCCTTGGAACCCCGAGAGGATACAACTTTGGTATGCAGAATCATTTGTACTTGGGGTCCTTAGAACCCCGAGAGGATATAATTTTGGTACGTAGAATCGTCGGTGCTTCGGGGTTCTTAGAACCCCGAGGCGATTACATTTTGGTACGCAGAATCGTCGGTGCTTCGGGGTTCTTAGAACCCCGAGACGATTACATTTTGGTACGCAGAATCGTCGGTGCTTCGGGGTTCTTAGAACCCCGAGACGATTACATTTTGATACGCAGAATCGCCGGTGCTTCGGGGTTCTTAGAACCCCGAGACGATAGCATTTTGGTATGCAGAATTGTCGGTGCTTCGGGGTCCTTAGAACCCCAAGATGATGTCAGGTCGGTATCTAGAAAGTGTCAAACAGTACCAAAAGATGGCACCACTTGTATTTCAAGAAAAAAATTGTATAAAATTTGATTCATCCATACCTTAAGCGAAATTATTATAAATTATTTATTTGAATTAAACTTTATAAGTACTAAGTGTGTATTATTATTTTTTGAGTAGTGGTTCAGCCAAACTTCCGATATGGCGCTATTTTGAAAATATGAGATTCAAATATTCCAGCAGGATAATAATTGACACGCATGCACGAGTTACTTTGTAAAGATCATTATTATTGATAAAAGGACACTCTACAACCGTCGAATAAAATTACAAGAATGGAAACAACAAGAGGACGAAGGGAGAAGAAGTCAAAAATTATTCCTACAATTTATAAAAAAATGAAGTAGAGGAATTACATTACACTGTTCGTGTTCAAAGTATAATTAATGAAATATCGGGCAAGAAAGTACTTTGCTCCTTATCAAAGTTCGTCTTCACTGGTCGATGAATATTGGCAGTATAGAGGATTAAACGGAACCTCATTCGACTGCCTTTTATTCGAAGTGAAAATAATAAAGGAAATTTTGTCTATTTATTTGATTGTCGAGAAAATGAATTTACGATTCGAAAGATGGACTCGACAGTTCGAGTTTGATTAGGATCATACTTTTTGGTCGTCTAATCCAGTCAACGACCTCTTAACAATCACGCTTCGACGATCTCTTCTTTATTAATCATTCAATAATGGACCCTCGATTGATCAATCTCGGACAATCTATCGTTCGAGTGGAAAATTTGGAGTCTAAATTCCATTCCCATCTTGCATTTTGAATTCAATTGTTGCCTTCCTTAGCTCAATTACCCTACTTAACATTTCAAAAGACCCAGATTATCAAGATTTTATTACCTTCCTTGTGCCCCCCTTATTTTTATTTATTGAATTTGAACGAATTTCAACAAGTGTATCAATCGAAAGTCCCATCAACTTATCCATAATTCGTCTGATTGTTAGTAGATTAAGAAAAGGGTGCATATCTAGTACGAGGTACAAAATATCTTGTGCATTTCGTAAGAGCATTCCGTAACGTGAGGATACACCTATTACTATTAATGGTGCATTATTAATTGTGTACATAAATGATTTATCACATTAAGTCAATCCATAAATTCACCTACGTCTTATTATAATTTTCGCCCTATTTGTCTGTCAGACACAATTTTGAATTTTCCTATTAAAATATATTGTTAAATTTATAATTAAATAACATTGGATAAAATTTACATTTGGAATGACTTAATACTTCGAATACCCTTGTACACAACTTTAATCTGTAAAGAGTACTTCTGGAGATACGTAATATATTTTTTTTTTGAAGATTAGGAAAAAGTATGCACATATTCCTTAGATTATATTACGAACATTTTGAGCATCATAAATTTCAAAAATACAGTTAGTTTTTTATGTGTTAAAATTCGAAAAAGTACTTAGAATACTCAGAGATTTTAAGAATAGAGAAGAAATTTTTATTTTTTAGAGAAGAAACGTTACTATTAGATAGCTGATAGTAAAACTTGTTAAAGTATTTGAGAAAAGCTTACGCTTCGATACATAGAAAGCAATATAGAAAGACAGCAATATAGAAGGATTATAGATATAGTGTCTGAAAATTGATTTTTATGTCATTTCGAAAGGAATAATATTATGTACCTTCAGAAATATCGTAAATGTAAGATTCTAGTCTTTTTTATAACATACATACCCGTAACGATCAAACGCAGATAATCTATCAATAGGCAATCATGTACTTTGCCAATTAAATGAGAATTAAATTAGGGAAATTCTTGGAATCTGAACGAATTTTAATATTAAACATTAAAGGCACTTCTTTTAACACCTTTGCACTTCTACACGAAAAATTTGCTAATTAATTACAAATGCAAGAAGTAAAAATAATCAACTGAGGTTGGAGAAAAATTTAAAGATCACCCATCGATAGAGAATCTGTGGATTTTCAGAAAAGTATTCTTACAATTACCGATCGATAGTCGGTAATAAACATTCATTAATACCTTTGAAATCGGATGTCCGCTTTTTTTTAAAATTCTGTTTCCTGTAAGGACCCGTAATTCTGTGCAGTTCCAAAGGAATTCGTGAGGTCAGGACGTGATATGATCGTCGAACGTATCCGGTCGCGAGGTTCGACGAAAATCGGTTAAATTCAATACGCGCTTATGGTCCCCGGATATAAATTAAGGTCCAACGAAATCACGAATCTTAACTTTGGTTTGCGTTCGCTTGGTCGCGTGCTTCGCACTGAACAAATCTACCAATAATTAAAACTTTTATATATTTATTACATGCTACTTTTATGTACACGCCACTCGATTTCGTCGGCGGCTTCGTTTTCGCGCGGTTCGATAAAGGCGATCACTCGATTGAAAGGAAATAGAAAATTTCTGGTCTCCTTGAAATTTTCGATTACTCGAAACATTTAGATTCGAAATTTTCCGAGTTGTTACAAACTGTATTTTCCCTGAGTCTTAACATCAACAACTGGCTTCGTTTCCGCTGTTCCTTTAGCTCAAACAAAGCTTCCTTTGTTCAAACAATTCTACAGATGGCGAAGCGAATTTAAGACGAGCTTGTTACTTGAAACGCGACGGTAAACTTCCCTTGAAATTAACTGCTCGAATTTCGTGGGACGTTAATACATTTTAAGTTGTATACATTACCGTCTTGAAAATTTATACGGTACGATAATCATCTAAATTCGGTGATCGTCTTTGACGAACCACTTTCTGGACCACTTAAAAACCGTATATGAAATTAAGTTTAAGTTGCTTGAAAATTAAACAGAATTTCGTGAAAAGGAATCACTTAAACCTTTATCGTTACAATTGGAAATTAGGACAGACAATTTTTATATAGAGTTGTCAGGGGGTGGAATTCTCAAAGCGTCAAGTTTTTGATTTTATATTGCAATTTTGTTGTCGTTCGAAGAACCCTTTGATGTTTTCAATATTTTAAAATAAAACTACTTCGCGTAAATTCGATACGGTTTCATTCAACGTAAATTGAATCAAAAGCAACGTGTAATCACGTGAGAGCTTCCTTTTGGAAAAAAGTAAACTGAAACAGTGAACTTTTAATTTCTATACAAATTGAAATCGGTTTGGATTTTTACGATAAAGGTTGGAACGATTGATAAATAAAAATTTACAGAACGTGGACACGCGAAACCCACGAAATATCATTGTTTAATGTAAAAGTATGAAATTGTTGGTTTGATCGCATCACAGAATGATCGAGAAAGAATCGATAAATATTTTTCTGCAAACGACGTCGTTGTCTCAACAGGCTTTGTCTTCTCTAGCCTCTTTTATTTCACCAAATACTCGCTAAAGTGCATATAAAATACATCTACGATCTTTCGATCTCTAATTATCGCTAAATTACGCTAAAATTCGTAAGTAAAATGCCGTACCGGTAATTCCAGTCGACTTTCGAATGCCCTGTCAATTATTTCTAAATTTTATTTTTCGAACAAACTTCATGGAAATTGAAGTCTTCTCGAAAAATAAAGTGTAAAAGGATTAACTAGCACGATCGAAAGTGTCTTTATCCTATCTAAACCATCTTCAGAATATACATTAAGTTACTTTTTACAGCTGTTTCTCGTTTCACCGAAACGATATCACTCGAAAACCTCCGCTGACATTCCAAAAATTTCTGTAAAATTCGTTACCTTCGAGTCCCGGGAATCGTGGAAATAGCTGGCGACGCGTACAAAGTCGAATTTTCAACAGCGAGGCGCGCAATCAGATCGCATGTCAGTTAGAAACACGACATGGTAATTATCGCACGACACCAGCATGAAAAATTATTCCGCGTGTGTGATTTAACGACGATTATCATTCGGTAGTCTCGAACATTCGCGAAAATTTGTGCACCTTTTATAAAAATTCTTGTACGAAATTGAAACTGAATAAATTAAAATTAAAATTCGTTAATGCCTTGATTTCCAGATCCACGATTTTTTCCCCGAGCGTTCCAAAAATTGATTACACCTGGTCGGATCATCGATTATGAATTCGGCTCATACCGTGTCGAGCAATCATGTTGCTCGTTGTTCCTTCTGTATTCATCCGAGTTTCTCAATAGTATCACCGTTTCTCGATTTCCGCTTCTTGATGGGACGCCTCCGTGACCGGTGGTAGAGGAGTGTCTATGGATATTTGTCTGGAAATGATTGAAAGAAAAATTTGTTCCTAAGACTCTTTTAACTATTAACACAACCCAGAGTTCCTACAGTTACTGCATCAATCGACGTAATCGAATCGGGAAAAATCAATGCCTCGAGATTGTTTACCTGCCGTTTGTTTGCCAGTCATAAGAATCCGGAGCGGAATTGCTTCTGCCTGTCCTGTGAAATCGTTCCGTCTTCGAGTTCCTGATCCTTTCTCTGGATGCCACGTTCTCGTCCGTCCTCCCCGAGGGGGATAATTCGATGCTATCAGTCGGGGTATCGACGCAGGCTGTTTTACCGCTCTTCTTCGACAGAAAAGGATTCTGGGGACGAGAAAATCATCCGCTGTCTCATACTATTCTAATTCGAATCTCAACGAATTCCGGCAAAAATCACACGACCCTTGGGATAAGAAGATGAAGGATGAGGGATGAAAGAAACAAAAAAAGAAAAAGGAGGAAATGATGGTTCGAGCTTTATGACTCCACGAGCCACAGAGTTATTGCCGTGTTTACGGAGCCGTCAACCTTCCTTGAACCCGACTGATATTGACTGGCTGCTCATCAAATAATAAGGCCAGAGACGTGGCGCCGTGGCGAGAGCGTCAGGCAGCTTTTCCACGCGATGAGATCGTCTACGAGAGAGGATGGTGGCCGCGTCATAAACAGAGAGACCGAGGCTTGACCTCTTGTTCAGGCTCGACGGGACGAGAGATCAAATATCGGTCGCAATTGGAATTCAATGGTCGTGGAACCATGCCGTGATAATACTGCTATCAATTATTCTCTCTATCGTATTTGTCGTGAAACTTTTAAATTAAGAATATTTCTTTATCACCCAATTAGACGAAAGTCAAAATGATTTTCGTCCAGGTGTTAAAAAGTTTAAGATTCATTTTTGGAGATTGAGATTTCTTGAAACGTTTATTCATTTTCGAACAAACTCAGGATTTCCTACCCTCTATCGCTTCATTTTCGGTTGGAAAGGTTTGTTCAATCGACGAACATTCTGTTAGCTATTCAAAGAATCAGGAATCAAGTGGATTTTTATAGCTGACTGCACTTTATTCCCCTTTTACCGTCTTCGTAGTAAAAGGCGAACAATCTTACATGAACGTAAAGCACCACCTTCGCATACACTGTAATTATATTCTAAGTAACTATTGAAACTTTGACGATACGAAAGGATCTTTAATGACTTGGAGCATTAAGAGCAGTGTTCGTCAGTTTGAGAGGGGACTTCTTTACTTGAAATATTTAACGCGCGAAAACACAGTTTTACTCGCGGAACGAACTAATACGTCCGACACGTGACGGGATTATTAATTAAAGTCTAGTAGATATCGTAGAAATTTCGTCGGCTATTTCGAGAGTTTTCAGCCAGCGAGCCAGGATTAATCGAAGGTCTATCGGATACCGATAATTGCCGTTCGCAATTCGCAGTTGAACTTTGAAACGACGCGACGAAATGGAAAGTAAAATCGAGCGGATGAAACAATTGAAATAGTCTTACTTGAAAGCTGTGCTGTTTCAGCATAGTTTTGATGAGGATCAGAGTGTCCAGCTTTGGTATCCTCGTGACGACACGTTCGACTTCCTCGTCGGTAACAGTGACCGGAAGCCGGCAATTATCAGCCTCGCTCGGCAGTGGTTCAGCACCGTCGTTGGTCAGCCATGGGTGTTCCTTCACCTCTGACAAACTGATCCTATTCTCAGGATCTTTGTCTAACATTTTTGAAATCAATTCGCGGAGATTCTTAGAGAGCACGGGTTTCTCAGGAAATTTCAATGGTTCCGTACGAACTGCCGCTTGCACGCCGATTATACTTCCGGCACCGTCCCATGGCACCCTTCCGGTCACTAGGGAGTACAGCGTCGCACCCATCGACCAGATATCGCACGGCTGGAAAATGATCACCAAATTTCTTATTGATCAAAATCCAATCTTTCATAGAAAAATTTGTAACTCGGTTGAAATGATAAAATCATAGAAATAATAATATTCAGCTGGGCTGTGATTATTGGAACGTTAGAAACAGAAAAAGAAGACGAGCATTAACCCGATTCCTTGAACAGACAAGTTTCCGTACTTCAAGTTCACTTGCATATTTCACGAGAACGCGAGAAATCGATGTCGACTGGCGAGCGACGGGGCTCGTTTCCGGTGACGCGTTCCGTTTCTTCGCGTGTGTACCTTGACGTTAAACGTGCCCTCAAACTTTTCGATAAGAAACTTGGATTCGTTGGTTCACCGTTCCTCGCGGCCAACCTTGACCCTATCGACTGCTGAATCTCTTTTCACGATTACGTCAACTGAACGTACGACAGGCAATATCGGTTTACGAAATTTTTCTGTCGAATAAAATTTTCTCATTTTAATGTAAATTTTGTAAACGAGTGAATATATAAAAATAACTCGTTTTTATTTACCCTATTTCATGAAAAAAAAAGTGACGAAAGACTGTCCATTCCCAATCTGAAAACCAGTGCCTGAATAGATTAATCCTTTAATTAACAGACGGATTTTATAGCTTATGAATATTAACTCTAGTAATTACAACATTTTTTAAAGCATATAAAAACGTGGAAGAAATTTTTAACGATATTCATCGCTAATGGGACTTCGATCAAGGCTGACGCTTTGCTGGCTTTTTTTTATCGCGAAATATATGCAAATGAATGGTGGCACTGGTGTTTAATATTCTGGAATTTTTGGGAAAATTTTACCTAGAAACATTTCAACGATAATTTCACGTTAAAAAGAAGTAAATGCAAATTAGAAGATATCTCCCCCGAAAAAAATTAAATTTCATTTTTGAAGATTAAAACGTATCGCCCTGTAAATAAATGACCTTAAAACCTCGATAGGTAACCTTGAGGGAAAACCATCAACGTATAAAGACATCGAACACGATTGAACGAGCCGCGTCATAATTCTTCACCGTTCATAAATACCGGGTGAAATCGAAAATCGATAGGTCGAACAACCCATCGATATTACCGGCCGTGCTACTTACAGTTCCGGAATAATGGGCACCAGGTGTGGTCGTTTCGGGTGCCGCGAATGCCGGGGTACCGGCTGGCCCGGATAACAATTCACCGGAAGCTCTCAGTTCCGCGCTGACGCCCAAGTCGGCGATCTTAATGCGACCGTCGCTGTCCACCAACAAGTTACTCGGTTTTATGTCGCGATGAACAATCCTCTGGTAGTGTACTGTAAAAAGAAAACTGAATTTAAGCGAAAGTTCAACCCTCGGACGGCGGACCATGGAGAGAGACTTACGATATTCCACCCCCATGACAACGTCGCGAAATTTCTTCCTAGCTGTTTCTTCGTCCAAGGGTTTATCAGTGGGTATCTGTAGAATTTCACCCCTCTGGACTAGTTCGAAAACAAGGTAAAGATTGTCTTCGTCCGGATCGTCGAGCACCTCCACCAGCTTCACGACATTAGGATGATCCAATTTCTTCAGCAAAGCAATTTCCCTGTAGACCTTCGCCAAAGGGTTAGCGGCACCCTTCCTACCAGGTGCCATTCTACCAAATATTCCAGCTTTCTTCATCAGCTTCTTCTTACTGAGAATCTTCATCGCGTAGTGGGTATCGTCCTCCTCGTTGTAAGCCAGCTTTACGATCCCATAGGAACCCTGCACAGTGGAATAAGAAAACGCTTCATTTTAAAGAAGAAGCCGTTGTCTCGCATTTCGATGTCTCGAACGAGTAGTTCACCACAGTTGCGATAATACGTTTCAATCGATAACTCGTTGCAGAATTCCGTTCGCGTGGAACTACTTCGAGCAAGAACGTTGGGAAAATTAACGGAAAGAAGGTGAAGGAGGTAGGAGGAAACGTGGCTAACTTTGAAAGTTTCTTTGGTCGCGGAACGTATACGAGAAGTTGTTTCGACCGGAAAGAAAGAGCAAACAGAAGAGTTTCTTATATCTTGTTCTGAAAAACGTACTTTTCAATTGTAGATTAAATTGGCTAACTAATGAGATAATAAATTTACAGACATTTTTGTTTAGAAAAGAAACTTCAAAAATAGCCCAAAAACATCCCTGTTGAAACAAACAAAAATGTTCTATCTCACCTGTCCAATATTATCCAACAGCTTATACTGGTTCAGCTGTAAAGCTCCTTGTCTATTATCAATGGAGACCCTTCTACTCTCCCTGAGGGGTCTCCTTCTGTTTCGGGGTGATCCCTGTGGGCTACCATACGGCGAATACGGACAGTAAGGATAAATGGGTCTCACTGTCACGTTGGATGTGTCCCCAAGGTATCTCTGACTCGTGCCCACCTCACCGGACGAGCAAACAGTCCTGATGGATGAATCCTCACCGACTTCCGTCGATGCCAACGCTTGGATATCGCTGGACACGCTACTTTTCAACATCGAGACGTTCGTGGATCGATTCGGCGATCTTGAAGACAAATCCCTAGGGTCTTTAGACGATGCTGTTACGTCGTTCTGCTTGCTCATCTGAAAGGATATCCTCCTGTCCAATTGCAACTGGCCATCGATCCTGTCTTCGGATTGGGTGGACATTAACCGGTACATTTTGATCGATCGAGGAAGGACACTCAACTGAAGGTCCTGTTTCTGGATAGATTTTTCTTTGGTTCGATGCGTCGGTGGTTCGCGGATTGATTCGTCTTCGATATCGGTACCGATAGGTCTGTGCTGTTCGATAGCGATCACTTTTGATCGATCGATAGACTGATCAGGTTTATCGGAGAGTTTGCTGCTCGATAGGGACGAAGATAGTAATCGATGAACCTGCTGATTAGATGCAGTTCTCGATGGAGATGTCGAGAGACGACTGATCGATTGGCTGAGAGAGGAAACGTCGAAGATGCTCGAAGACACATCCTGGTGCCTCGATATCGATACGTCTTCGGTTAGGTCGTTCAGACCGTACAGGTTATCCGAACTCTCTTGTCTGGAGTGTACTTCATCCCTAGGGATTTCCTTCGCCTCTTCGATATTCGGCATTTCGAGTCCCGCGCCGGACGCCTTCCTGTGGATCTCTGTAGTAGGCATCCTTTCACAATCCACCACCTCCTCGGTTAGGCTCTCCTCGGCTCTCCCAATGATCACCCTAGAGTTCAAGCGTTTCGGACCCGCGGATGATCTCCTTCGCTCCTTCAGAAACGAAGACAAGTCTTGGAGAACGTCTACGGACGACGAGTTCCTTCTGTCCTCGTCGAAGGTGCCCAGATTACTCGCGTATCCGCTGCTCTCTCTTCTTGGTCTGATGATCCTAGGTGCCCTGGCCCTCAGGATCTCCCGAAGAGCGGGTAGTCCTTCCGCTTCCTCTAAGAACAGAGCGCTGTCTTTGCGAACCTCGACGATCTCCTGGTCCGAATTGTCTTCAGGGCTGGACGGAATCCTGGTTGAATCCTCGCGATTATCGAACTTTAGGAGCGTCGATTCTTTGACAACGGGCAATTTAATACTCGCTTTACCCTCGAAATCGATAGGTCTGTCTGGTTCTTGGTCTTTCGGGCTTGGCGACTTCCTGGTTAGATCCTCCTGGACGAAATACTTGGAATCTCGGGTTTTGATAGGGAGATTCAAAGGTTGAGACTCTGCTACGGTCGAATAGCGAAATCGAAGAGCTTCTTTGCTGCTTTTAGATTTTCCTTCGATTTTTCGAAGCTGAGCTAACTGCTCGGCAGACGTGCCCGAGTCTAATGGAAAGACTATGTTACCGGAAGTGTCCAGAGACAAATTTAAGTCCCTCGAATCTGCGGGAGCTGTGAGTGACTTTGAAATGCACCCTGGCGATTCTTCGTCGATCGCGCTGTGTCTGCAATAAAAAATCAACGATCGACGTTAACGTTTACCTTTTAGATTTCTAGCCGGAAAATTGATTCTTCGAACGGTACTCGGAAATGGAGATTTATACAGATGTCGAAGCGTTTTTATGGGTACGCGAGTTTGAAAGGATTCGGTATGGATGCATTTCGGGAGAATAACCCGACGAATGTCAGAGAAACGGATTCGCGAATCCGCGGGAGCGAATTGAATTTCCCTGGAAAACAGGCTGAACTTTTCGAGAGCCGTAGCGAGCTCGAAAGTCGACAGAAACAACAGTTCAATCTGTGTTTGACATTCAATCGACGTTTCTCGCTCGACTTCGTCACATTTCGCATCACTGCCTCTGTTCAGAATCATTTTAGAGAACGTCTCTTATTTCCTCCAAAGGTTGCGAGATGATGAGTGTCGTTTAAATATCATATTTTCGTCGTTCTAATTGACGCGATCTCAATTGCAAATCAGCATTAAGACGCGTACGATCGCGGCTCGTTTCGTTCAGGATTTAATGAGCTTCGCTCCCCGGAGGCTGAAACTTCCGGTCGGATTGCTCACGAAATCCCTGCTTAATCGTAAATCTGCCTCTGGCTACTGATATTCTCACTGGCACACCGATTCTTTATCGTTTCACCTTTCTTCTCCCTCCAACGCCACGCGAGTCATCGATATTTATCAACGGCACTAATTACGACTAATTACGTCGCGCGACGAAGAGGGAAATAATTGAAACGAAAACAGGCGACCATGTGAAACGAGGATTTTTCAACGAGCCACGATAAGGGTTCGATTTGACTTGGAAATAACGCTTGCTACGCGGATCAATTGTTCGACTAGAACTAGGCCAACGAATATACCAGAGAATCTACATTCAGTCAGTCTCGCACGAGTTTCAGCAGCTTCCTCGTTTGTCATCCGCGTATCTGACCGAATTAGAGTCCCGGTACAATTAGTAACACTAGCTCATTGAAATTCTGCGAACATCACCGGCTGGATTCTTTGAAGAATATCACCGGTTCAAGTAGCGGAACTCGGGGGAACAGCGAACGTGTTAACTCGTTTTGGCAAAGTTTCGTAGCTTCGTTACAGCAACTAGAACGCGGATGCACGCGTTTAATAAAACTCGAAGAGAAGTTACCTAATTAAATGGAGTGGTGCAACGCTAAACAAAAATTAATATTCTTTCGTGCAAACATTTTACAATTTCATCGGAATCTAGGTGAAATATTAATTACCGTCGGTAACCGAGTTAATTACCATTAACGCGCCGAGTTTCAATTCAACAGAGGTAAATTACTTCATTTTCTATCCAGGCTACAATCGAGGCGCGAATCATTTCGTTTCTCGTTTCGAAAACAATCCGCTCGAAATTTCGCGGTTCGATTCGGTTAATGGAATTCACTGAACTAAAAAAAGAAATAAAGGTATCTGAAAACTCGTGCAGTTTTTTCTGTTAGGTGAATGTTACGTTCGGGCGCGTACGTGAATAGCATTCGCGAGTCGGACAGGTGCAAACGCGATGCACATTCCGTTTTGTTACGTGCTTGTCATACGTAATTTAGAAGAACAGAGAGTACTGTTCATGATTTTCCCCAGGTTATTCTAAAGATTAACTAACAAAGATATTTTGAAAGATATTTTTAACGAAAAATCGGGTGGTTTTGTCGAGCACGTATTACGATGAAGAGCCTAAAATTTTAGACGCGGCGTGATTGATGGAAGGAAGCTGCGAAACACGAACTACGCGCTGGGATAACCGGGCGTCGCGACGCCAATTCGGAAATTGGATCGCTTCGCGATAATTTACGAGACCCTTAGGAAATTCAGTCGGTGAGTTCGACGCGTGTACGCGACGGAACGCGTCCTCGTCTCCCGTGAGAAATACGATCGCAAACTTTGCTCCACGTTCGAAAGGTACGTGATGCATCTCCCACGAAGACTCTCCCGTATCCTTCGACGCGAACAAGTGTCATTTTCTAAGGAACCATCTTAATTAAAGGAAAAATCATGTTACATGCAGCTTTGATGAAAGATAAGGATGACAGTCGACGAAGATCGCTAATTTAATTAATTTCAGTAAGGTAATGAGAGGCGTAGAAAAAATCTGTTACGTTACCTGAAACTGATTAGGAATTCTTAATGAAACGACAGCCACTGAGAGAAGAGCAACCACATTTGGCAATTTATATTTACCAAATGTTTCCTCGCCAATGGTACACGTAACCAGATAATAGCCGACGATAATTAGTATCGACGTTGACAGTAGCGTTCAATGTTCTGACCTCACTTTTGACGTGTAGATAAACGAGGCGAACAAACAAGGCAACGCGTCCGACATCGTTTCGCGCGTGGGATAAACACAACGCAATTTGGATCGAAAAGAATCCCGCCTGAGGCTCATCGTCTAGAAATGTCACCGTTTAATTAACTGTCGCGAACGTGGGCGACGAGATTGTGATTAAGAAGCTGCCAGCGTGCGGTTGGGAAAAGGTATCGACGGAGAAACACGCGAGGGAATTCCTAATGATGATCTATCAGCGACCAAGTTCCAAGTTTTCGAACTTCGAAACTTTTAGAGTCCGCCAATTTTGAAACTTTGAAACTTTCGAAGTTTGCAATTTTACAATTGTTCTTAGTCGATTTTCAACTTTGCCGAATGAAAGCTTGCAAATTTTCGATCCTTAAAATTTAGGAAGTTTGCAATTTTCTAACTTGCAATCTCAAATAATGGAACTCTGGAAATTTGCAAATTTAACACTCGAGAATCTTAAAGGAAATATTTTTGTTACATTATCTTTCACATTGTTTCGAATCGCGGTTACGACACGAATTTATCCATATAATGGCAACAAGGTCGTCGATAACGTAACATGCCCAAAATGTGCTTTGCTCAAGGATCCTCGTCAACGTCGACAATAGGCTCTTTCGTTCACAAAGTTGCGATTAAGAAACATTTATAAAAACGATATCGACGATTTAATGGAACTGAAGCAATGTCCGGAGGTTATCGTTTTAGGTACGTGGTCATAACAGGATTAATCATTCTGCATTCCATTATTTAGACTATCGTCTGATATATTATGATTTAGGATTATCAACTAGGTTAACCGACGATATAATTCAGTATAGTTGGAAACAAAACGTTTTAAGCAATGGAATAATTAAAACATAAATTAACTTGTACCTCTGATATTATTATAGAAAATAAATAAAATGCAGATGGACTTTGGCATTGACCTGATAATGACACCCAACACGAATTTAATAGCTTTAGCAAAAACTTCGAAGAAGCATATGCAACTTTATACTGAATGTTGAACGATTATCCGCTTTCCGTCGTTCCAACAGAATTTCTATCCTTCTATTGTTAAGAACTTGATGTACAGCCATTGAAGAGATCGTTTGGGATGATAGAATCCCTTGAAGTATTGAGATTCTCTGAACTTTTCAAACTCCTATTCCCTGTTCGCGACTGGTATTGTGTTCTCATCATCCTGTTCCCAAACTTTGCTAATATTATTACCATTCAATCGATTCACGAAAATTAGAGAATAAACAAAAGGGCGACGGAAGAACGTGTTTCAACGGGAATAAAACTTTCTATCGAATGGAAATCGAATCAAAGAGTTTCTTTAAATCTCTATGAATAGACTTCTAGAAGCTCTTTTCGAACTTTTCTTTTACCGAATGCTTATTTCAGCGCAAGTGACCGACGCGACGGATTAGAGGCGACTTGTAATGCGCTTATCGTTCGATCAACTCGAGGGTTGAGATTTAGAGCCAACAGGCTGAAACACTCGAAATCGCGATTGCTCAGATCGCGAGGATGGTTTCGTTCCAATTTCGTGCTATTCCTAGCACTTTGGATCGTGAAACTGTAAAACTCCACAGTTCTAAGAATCTTGAAATTTTAAAGCATCAGGATTCCAAAAATTCGGCGAGTTATGGAACTCCAGGAATTCAGAAACCAGGACTTATATAATTCTAAAATTATAAGATTATACGAAATTTGGTACTCAACAGAATTCCAATATACCTTCTTTCACCTGCGTTTCACCTTTTACACTCGATTAGGAATGAACTCTAGCGGAATTTTGCACGATTCATTGGTCGATGAACGATCAATCGCTTTGTATGTTGCAGTCTATTTTATTGGTGCCGTAATAAATTACGGAATGCGATGAGTAGCACTGGCAGAACGACGCGTATCGATTACGCATGACACCATTTGTCTTTTCTCATGGCAGATTCAATAAAGTTCTGTCGATGCACCGATTAAACTAATACCGATATGTTCGCAACGTCTACAAATATGACGAATTGAAATTTTCCCTCGTCTTTTCTCTGATCGAAAAATCTTGATATTCTATCCCGTTCTTTCTTAAATTCGAATACAATTTTATTCGTGAATTGTGATCGTCGTTTCCACTTATTTTCCATAATGCCTTATTTTAAAGTATGATCGTTAAAAGTTATTCGTATGCACTTGAAATGTACCTGAAAATAAAAAACGATACCGAAATAAAACATTTTTCGCGTCTTATGTATAAATCATGAGTGTCGAATGGAAGAAATCAAAATCTTTTTTTTTTCCTCGTTCTTCCACATTGGAATACGATTTATTTATTGCAGAGAAAAATACGAGGCTAGAAAGAAGGAAAGGTTAAACGAGAATACGAAAGATGTAAATACTTTCAGAAAGATATCGTATTATCTCGCGATTACGGTTTTGCATTCTGCATTAATTAAACTTCGAAAAGTTTTACAGCTGCCGATCTTTCCTAACTAATTCACCTCGGCTTATTTATATGTATACCATCGGTGTATGCAAAGATATTCGCCCATCTTATTGAACGTTCAATCTCTCACATCCGTGGAAAGTTCGTATTGCTTTCCAACGACAACATTGAAATGTTTTAAGATAATACGTAAAAGGTTCTATAAATACATCCTACTCTGTGGGACTTATTCATCTGAATAACTGAATAAGAATAT